CACGCTATTGCGTGCGCCCGCGCCGCACTACAATTGTTAACAATTAACTGTACTTCTTTTGCGTGTTTCAATCCCATCCGAGAAATAGGGTCAACTACACTCGTAGGTCGTAGGCGGCGCGCAATGCAGACGTTTGGAGTTTATATTTGCAGAATTATAATCTATCCAGTTATTCCTGTAAAGTTTTATATCTTGCAGACCACATTGTAAATTCAATGTTAGTAATGCGTGGGCTCAACACGTGATTAGCAATATTCGATTTTAACATATTCGTCGATTCAGCTCCTACATACGATGTATATTTTTAAATAATGTTTTTGAGACGGTCCAAATCTGATTTTATATTTGTAAGTATAAATCGAGAATCGTAATGCGCAGGCGCATGAAGAGTGGAGGTGTACGCGTGATGGATGTATTCCAAATTATAATGGAACACTTGGTCGTGAAATTTAAGGGTGATGTCACTGGAAGAGTCGCTGACCCCAGCAATGTGTTCAGTGATGTCACCTTTGGGATATAAATGACAAAATAAATCTTTTTATGTCCAAACTACCGGATGGCTCTGATTTAATTTAAATATAATTTTCTCACACTAACTCAAAAGTATTATTTCTTGTTCATTGTACAAACATTGTACACGAATCTTAAAAACATACACGTTGGAACAACTAATATATTTGAAACACATTTTAAGACTACAATTTTTACAGTCCGCAAGTTAATAAATCGCCGTACTTAAAAACTAATTTTAGTAATCCTTCAAATGTGTTAATAACTTAAATTAAACTTGTTAATATTCCACACAACATCTAAGCGTATGTTAAATTTACTCCATCAAAGCGGTTTTGTCACCTTTTATAATGTGATACGTAAAGGTTTAAATATATTAAAATTATGAATTAAAATGTGAGATCGTAAAATGCTTTAAATAAGCAAACAAACTTCTTAATTGGACATCATTATTTCTAAACAGTGTTTCTTGTTGATAAACGGTTAAATTTTTCGTCAAATTTTCGTGGTTATCAAATTATTTTCAAGTGCATACTTGTTGTTTTTTTCACACTTGTAACCAAATTTAAAATGTTAGATCAATAAAAAATGACAAAAAAGCGATCTCTTTTTTGGTTTACGATCATCTTACAATGTTTCTATGTAAGAGACGAAAGAATACAACACAAATGTAATATTAATGTTTTAAATGAAGCTTTTGATATCTTGTCAAAGCGGAACTACTTCACTCGGCTGGTAACATTGTTAGTGCCAATTTCCACTAAGCGGAAAATCGAGCGACTCTAATACCACGCGTTCTTGATTTTGTATAGCAATTGCGGCTCCACCAGTGGAAATAAGACACGTAATTTAAAAGAAATATTCGCGAAGTTAGCCGCTAAGTGATACTTTAATTTTAGTGTATAATCTAAGTATGATACAATGTTTTGATATCGCGCAGGCAGCGAGGCGTCGCCGCCGCCGTGCGAGGTGTTTCTGGGAGGCTCGTGCAATCCCACCACCTGGAGGTCGGACATCGCTATACCCATGCTGAAGAAGATGGGCATCACATATTTCAATCCGGTAAGTTTCTTTAAAAGTTTATTTGATGAGACGCTTACGGTAGATTTATCAAGTGAAATCTTATTAAACTCTAAGTTGCACTTAGAGAGGGCGCACACCTTTTACGATTGTCGTTTGTTTCTCAGCTAATTCAACTGTTTAGTTGCACAAATAAAAGTCGAGTAGTGGTGGGCACCTCCATAAAAGTTCATAGGAATCAAAGCGAGACAAAACAGTTGTGCGCTACTTTAGTCCAAGGTGTGCTTGCGGTCTTAACATACCTTAGGCTTAATCTGCCCTTTACAACTAACCGTTTGAGCCATAAACATCAGTGTTATTAATATTTGTTAAATTACAAACCAAGAGATAAAGTTTCATAATAACTATGACTTCCAGTTAGCTTCCTATCATAAAGATATATTCTTCTTAAAAAAATATAAACTAATTTATACGTGGCGCTATGTCATACAGTAACGATTAAATTAATTTATGCGTCATGTTTATGTATGGCGGATGTCGACTGAAAACCGGGTAATTTTAAATACCTTTTAACTTTTATTTTTAACATAATTTTAAGCCATTATAAATAATGTGTCGTGCCTTAAATGGCCAAATAAAAGTCCTAAGTTTATTTAAAACTGATTAATATAAGTGATAGCATGATATTTCGCGTACTTTCTATAACAAGGTTGACATTATCAATGCAACAAGGAAACTGTTTGATAACGTATGCAATGTCAGCTGTCTATCATATTTTGTTTGCAGCTGTTTGTTTGTTTTGCGATAACGTGAATTGTACTAAGGAAACCACATCGACATACGATTTGAATGTGTACGAATATGTAGGCGTTTTAGGTATTGGTATTTTTATAAGTCATTCATATTCATAATTAGGTACATAAATTATAATAACGACATTCCGATAGCTAGTTTTGTTCGATAAAAACTTACATTACCAAAATTGATTCTAGGACGTGGGTGCTCTATGGCACAAATTTTTGTACCTACTGTTTTGACAAGCCTATAGTTTACAAAGAGTAGATTCCGCGTAGGGAGTATACGTGGCAGTTACTGCCGCGGTTAGTGCGACTTTGGGAGCGGCATGTAACAAATTTTTGATTCCAACTTTTAACGAAGTGTTTTGAATGGTAATGGACGAGACATGTAGGCGTCGATTAATTTGTGTCAACTTCTCTTTGTAAAGAACGTGATTTATTCGAGTTCACATTTTAGTTGTGATACATCACGTCCCTATATTGATCTTAGATAAAGGATCCGTATCTCTTGATAGTATTCAACATCGACAATAGCAATTCAATAAGAAAAATCGATTTGAAACGCTGATGTCATCTCTATTTCAAGAGTTTACATATACTGGCTCGTGTACCAGTTGTATCGTTATCTTATGTAAATATTTTTATATATTAAGTACATAGATTCTGTTGTACTCAACTACCAATATGACCAGTGTGCTTTAATTTGGATATATAGTTTAAAATTACGACGTTAACGATAGCTTTTTGGCACTGCACTTGTATCGACAGTAAAACGGCAATAAAGGCCAGAAGTAAGAGATGATTTAAGGCTCTCTACTACGCACGAGTCTTAAGCGCTCGCTAGTCACATTTACATATATAAAGGAAGTAAAATCGCATAACGAGACATAAATATCGACGTCTTATTGATATAGTGAAAGGTTTGTGTACTAAAAACCTCAATGTTTTCTCTTCCACATGAATGCTGTCATGCCGTTTTTGTTAACGAAGGCGCTTGTAATGATCAATGAATCGATCGAATTAACGGCTTGCTTTTTTATACCAACGTTTCACATGTCAATAATAACTTGGATCGTAGTTAACAACAAAGCAACATTATTATGTTTCTACGATTATTACTCTTAACGAACTGTTATTGATGTTTTTTATATTGGTACTGACGGCAAAGATTTTTTTTTATTTACAGTTGATATTTGATGAATAAAAAATTGTATAAGATGACATGTGGTACCGTAAATAAATATCTACACATATTTAGTGCTTAGAATAGAACCGATTAGAGCCAAATAATTTGTTAAAATGTATGTAATTGTCCAGCAAGTAGAGGACTGGTCGACGGAGTTAATGGAGGTGGAGCACCGCGCGAAGTCCGCGGCGCGCGCGCTATTGTTCGTGCTGGACAGCGAGACGCGTGCGGTGGCCGCCAGCGTGGAGGCTGCGCATCTAGCAGCGGCGCCACGTGACCTGCTGCTGGTACTGCGACCCTACACAAGACACCAGCTTATCGGCAACGAGACCATCACTGACCAGTTAGTAACCACATTATAATAGTTCTCGTCTGTCGAACTGGCTTCCATGGACGTTGGCAACATCCTACGTGTTAGCAAAAATTCACAGGATCCCAGATGTCATAAAAGACTACTGTGGAGTTATAGCAGATAGCGGGGCTTGGCATGGATCTTTAGCCACGCTTTTGTTGGTCTTTTTCTTTCTAGTATATTTTTAGCAATTTCAACAACTATTTTGTGTCAATGTCTTCAAATCGCTTCAGTATTGGCAATATAATAATGTGTCAGTATTAATCATTGAGAACACAAATGACTGTTTACTACTCCTAATTAGATGTTCCGTTCCAAAAAAACAAGTCACGTGGTTCTGCATCATCAGGTCGACGTCATATCCGTTGGCCGACGCAAGTAGTGCTGGTCCACTCCATGGCAGTCAGGTCGCCGCCCTGTTTGTGTTAGAATGACTTGCGGCGAAATGGGTGGGGGCTAATGTATGCGTCACGATACTTTCCTGCCGTGATATGTGGAGCACCGTGCGCGGTGACGTCTCATTGTTCCTCGATACTGCCTTATAGAGAAGCATTAATGAGTAACGTACGAATTGTGCTTAGCACATAGTACGGTCACATAGTTTGTATGACGTGGCATATTGCAATAAAGCTTCGTCATTATGTCTAATTGTAGGTCACATGGCCCGTACGGAATTAACTTGTTCGATTTCGCGCCTGTGGCATTTAAATCAATCAACATATCATGGTATCATTATGATATCAGATACTTATCATGAAACTTTTTAAGTCTTAACTAGAAATATTAGATTTGGCTACCACACCAGATATTATATTAGTGGAAAAATAGGGATTTTATTTAATGACTTTGCAAAAATATTGACGTGTGAATAACAAGATCCATTACTCTTGATCACTATCCGGGTATTTTTAGAACTGACAATATATTTTCAAGGTTTTTCGTTCTCGTATTATTGCTGATGGCAAAAACTAGTTGATTATGATCTCGGTGATGTCACAACACAGAAGGACCAAGCAGAATACAAATTTGAGAAAAGCGTGTGTATATTTGCAGGGAGTACGTTGAGCTATCCCGAGCTAGAGCGACGCTGCAGGAGGCAGTGGAGCGGCGCGGGCTGCCCGCGTTCTCGGACATCCCGGCGGCGCTG